AGTAAACATGACATGTGGGTTCACTCAGTTTGTGACATAAAGGACTTCAGCAGGAGGCCATACTGTTAGAAAAAGACTCGCCATAAGTTAGAGGCAGACTTTAGGTAACGCTCTATTTACTCACTAGTGACCATTCCAACACATGTCCAACCAAAAATGTTAAAGATGTTTTTCTCATGGAATCTTAGCTAATTACAGACCAGTCAGCAGGACCATGGGGCAGAGATCAAGGGGTCAGTTTTGAACTTATACATACAGTATGTGTGAGTCGCACAAAATGGTACGTGTGTGTGTTTTATTTAACCTTTATTTAACCAGATAAAATCTCATTTACAATGCTGACCTGTCCAAGAAGGCAGCGACGTTACACATAACACATAACACAAACATATAAAATACAGAGAACACAACTAAGTAAACAAAAAACAAAACGAAAAGCAGTCACTACATTGTGCACATTTGGGACAGTAAGAAAGGTACACTACTTATTACTGCAAGAGCAGCTGGTGGTAAGGACCTCAGACAACATCAATTTAAAACAGGCTATTGGGACAAGTGCCCTCAGTTTTAGGCTTGATTGAAGGTCATTCCAAGACCAAGGACCATAATGAAAAGACTCCTTTTTCCAGCCTCAGTCCGCACAGCAGGAACCTGGAACCGTATCCAGGCACTGGAATTGAGGTTGTAAGAGTCACAAACTGGAGCAAATCTGGCACATATGTACAGTGGAAGCTTACCTAAAATAGCTTTATACATTAATAAAAAAACAATGCTGCATCCTACGCATACTAAGTGAGGACCATCCATTTAGGCTATACAGTTTGAAATGATTAGTCCTATAGGGTGCATTTGATATATATCACAGTGCAGCATGGTAGAGTGGGTCAAGTTTGGCCAAAACAGTGGGACAGGCAAATCTATAGATTGTATCACCGTAGTCAAGCTGGGACAGGAATAAGCCAGAGACCAACCTTTTACGGGAAGAAGTTGATGTGAAGCCAAGAGTGAATTTCAATTTCTTAGTTAGAACTTCAATGTGGTGTTTAAAGTTTAGATTTCTGTCCAACCAAAAGCCCAAATATTTGTATGTATCGACAAACTCAACAGAGACGCTATCAAGGGTGTCAATGGAAAGGCAAGAGGACGCTGACTTGGGAGCAAAGAGCATTGCTTTGAATTTCTTACTGTTCAATAGCAGCTTCGAATCAATAAGCGCATGCTGCCGCGTGATAAAATCAGTTTTTAAATTGGAAATGGCCATATCGTGCCATAGAAAATTGCATCTGATTACAAATATTGTTTACATATAATAAAAAGAGCAAGGGCCCCAAAATAGAGCCCTGTGGAACTCTCTTCTCCAAGGTGACAGGGTCAGAGACAGTACTACCTGACGCATTGAGTACGGTTGGTTAGATAACTTTGAAACCAGCAAATGGCGTTACGAACTAAACGAGACATCAACATAACATTGGACAGAATGTGGTGATCTACAGTGCCAAATGCTTTGGCTAAGTCAATAAACAATGCAACACAAACATATTTTTTATCCAAAGCAGCCTTAATATCGTCTAAGACTTTCAGACTGGCAGTCACAGTACTGTGCTTTGATCTGAATCCAGATTGCATAGGAGATAACTATTTAAAGTATGTACACTACATACTGATATGAACCTGAAAATGAGCTGAATATGTCCTCTTTAAAATTACTGTAAAAAGGCAGTTACAGGCTATTTCTAAAATTAAAAAAGATAAATTAAACTGGGATTTGTTTCTATTTACTTTTTAAGGTTATACTTTTTGAAAAGGTAGAATCAGTTATTTGTGTAAAAGTGACCTGTGTTTTGGCCTTTAAAACCCTTTGCAAATGGTCAATGTGCATCTAAAAAGAATCATCGTCTTTGTTACAGAAATTGGAAGTTTCATGCAACAGGCCAACGAAATAGTAATGACTCAGACACAGTTCTTCTTCCAGTTAGCCAGCAAGTCATAAACAATGTCTTAAGACTCCTGTATTTGTGACTGCCTCTCTTCCTCTCTTCATGCTGACTCTTCTTCTCTGTGTCATATACTAGATTCTAGATCTGCTTTTCGCTTTCTTTCTGCCCCCCTCACCCTAAATAGCATTCCAATAAAAACCAAACAGAAAGATGATGCTTCAGGCAGAGATAGACTTGGAAAACGTACAGAAGGGAAAAAAGCCCAGTCAAATAAGCCAGCAGTGAGACAGACACATGGAAAGATGGACTAACAGTGAAAAAAAGAACAAGATATTAAAAGAAAACCAGAGCTCCACTCCTAGTAGGGGTTCCCTTCCTATTGGCTAATGTTGCAACCAATAGGAGTGCAGGGGAGGAGCACTTCCTGTGAGGTCGAAGTGTAGACTTGCAGTTTTTTTTTGTAAACTGGTGGCACAAATGGGCATATCTGTGTTTTAAGTATGTGTATATCTTCAGGGTGTGTGTGTGTGTGGGGGGTGTGTGTGTGTGTGTGTGTGTGTGTGTGTGTGTGTG